AAAAAATTGTAAAAAAAAAAAAAAAAAAAAAAAAAAGGGAGAAGCTGCCTCAGGGGAGTCCAAGACCCTGGGTCAGATTCAGAAAAGGATGGTTTAAACCTTATTTGTTTCTTTTAAAAGCGAGGTACACTTTAAGCAGAGTCCTGTGCTGGGGGGACCTCGGCAGAAGGTGTGCTGGTCTCAGTCTCTCTCTCTTCAGAGATGCTGTCCTCTGGCTCCAGCTGTTCGCTGCTCCTGATGGCCGCCTGGAGCTGCTGGTGCCGCTGCACCTCGGCTTTCAGGTTCTCCAAGTCTTTTTGGCTGGGGGGGGAGGGGAAGCCAAAGACTGTCAGGTATCTGACAAACACCTTGCTTTTGCCTAGTTTTACAATGTTTCCACCCATATTTGTAGTCCTTGAGTCCCAGTCTCTTCTCCAGCCAAGCAGGGTTGTGCATGCAGGTTACAACCTCATACCACTGCACAGGGGTGGTGAGAGAGCTCAGCGCGCTATTTTGGCCACAGAGAGATTCAGGTTGGTCCACTCTGTACTTGGGCAGCATCCTGCCACCTCAGTTTCACCTTTGTGGGCAGCACATGCCTGTTCTGTCCAATCTAAGCCATTCATATAAGCAGCCTTCTGGCCTACTGTGAAGCAAAGCTCCCCACTAACAAGCCAGAGGACACCAGCTGATGGACTGAGAAAACTAAGTGCATTATACAGCTTCCCACCCCAGTACGGAGTATGTCTCAGCCCAGTTGCTGCAGCCAAGGGCATCAGTGTGTCCATCTGGAAGCAGGAGGCAGGCAAGGAACTTGCACTGTTTGATTTACCAGCAGTCCTTTCTGTCCTGGTGCTTGGACCGAGGTCCCTCTGAAGCAAGCACTGCCTGCCCAAGAGAATTTGTAAGGGCTGACCTGGGGTAGCTCTACCGCATGCCATTTTTGGGCAGGGCTCCATCATTTCAGTTTGCGCTCACCCCCTGCCCAGCCACAAAAGCAGCAGCTGAAGCCTGTAATGGCTAGCTAGTAAGTTCCTGTGACTTTCCACGTGGATTTTCACAGAAAGCCACTGCCCAATCTCTTCCTTGCATGTATCCAAGCTACTAATTAAGACACGATGGCACTCTCATTTAGTCTGTCCATAAGTACAATCTTGAGACACAGGAGAAGGACAGACCTTGATTCAGTTCCTGGATCAGGGACCTTGCTTCAAAACTGCCACTTCAGTTCTAGCCTTATATATAAAGGTGCATGGCAGAAATCTGTGGTGCTGCCTGACGAGCAACCAGTTTGCACAAGGAAGCAGCAGGTACCAGAGCCTTGTTTGCTTGCAGAGCTATAAAGTCAGCCATAACAAATAATATTGATGGGATTATTATGCAAAAGGGTTTCCTATCCCAGGTGGATACCACCGCTCCTGCAGCCATGCCTGCTTTCCCCTAGGCTGATTATCCTAGCAGTCTCACAACATCAAGTACATCCCAGCAAGAGCTATGGAGCTGAAGGAACCTGATGCCACTGCAAGAGCTTAGCTCACTACTGCTCCTGAGCCCACCTCCCATCCCTGTCACAGCTGGCAGGCAGGGGTTTTGAAGCTGCAGCATGTGTTTGTGAGAGTTCAGCAAGACCAAGGCTTGGCAGCGATTCTTTCCAAAACAAGTAATGCTTAGTGTCGATTTGGCGCTGATCGCCCCCATCAGAAAGTCACTCGAGATCACCAGCCAGGCCACCATTCCCTGCGATTTGTCTAGGTCTGCCAAGAGAGGGCAACACATGCAATCCGACAGGCCGAGCTCAATACAAACGGACCCATCAGATTAATAATCCACTGGGACTTGCAGAGGCAGCTGCACTCTATCTAAATAGCCAGCCATGCAGCAAGGGTCTGGCTGTTGCAATGGGACCAGATAACAAGTGCATCATATGCATGCATCACACTACCTTAGTGGAATGAAGAGAATCCCGTTGATAATGTTGAGCTGCTCCAGAACACTGGCCATACTAGGAGCCGTGAACTAGGGGTAAGAGAGGAAGAAGGGGGGGTGGGAAACAAAAAAAAAAAAAAA